CCGGTTCAAGTTGCGTAAGTGAGACTCAAGTTAAGGAATAACATTTTTTTACTCGTCGGGTAGTGAATTCGCGGAACGCGTTCCGTGAACACGTAGTGCCCCATCCGTCCTTATTTTATCGAGGTGCTTTCTCGGACGAGACGAAAAAAGGCGAAGCAACGCAGCCGCGGCATCAAGACGCCGACGAAAGAAAAAAAAACATTTGACGGAAGAGGCAGAACTGCCGCGACGAACTGGCGATTCTGAGCGACTTTTGTGATCCAGTCGTGACGTCATCCCGCGATTCCTCGATCCTCCTCGATCCTCCTCGATCCCAAAGGTTCCACGATGAAATACCTCATTCCGCTCGTGAGTTCGTTCTGTCCCTTGATTCGCACGAAGATTTTATTATTTAGTCGCCGGTTGAAGAAAGAAAACGGAAGAGACGGACGATGTTAAATGCGAAGTTCTCGTTTCTCCAGTAGAAATTTCCGATTTGTACAGACGGAAAGAAGCATCGAAATTCCATATATGGAATCCTTTGAGGCATCTATCGTCGGAGTCACTTCAAACTCCCGTGGAATACTCTTCCGTTCCGAAATTCGTATTCTGTAAGGGGAAAAAAAAATACTTAAAGAATTTTACTGGGAGCAATGTCTCAAGGATGATAAATCTATATATAAAAAAAAGGAGCTCACCGCCTTCCTTTCAAAATCCAGTTCGACTTAATCTTAGATGCACTTGCTCGGTTAAAGCGAGGTCGAAATTCGAAATGAAGAGTTCCGTATGTGGCCGACCTCATGGCGACAATCGCTTCCTTATGACTACAAAGGGCAAAACTGAGAAAATCCACAAGATGAAATGGCCAGAAAGAGTCCCCGCCCTTTATGCGAAGGAGCAGACACGAGGGCCGGACCCGACCCCAACCCGATCCGGGCGATCCCGACCCGATCCGGTGCGATCCCGACCCGATCCGGTGCGATCCCGACCCGATCCGGTGCGATCCCGACCCGATCCGGCTTTCCCGTCAATGGCGGGATGGCGGATCCGGTGGGGGTTCTGGAAGACGGGTTTTCTCGGCGTTGCTTCATCGCGGGGCGTTTCGACACTCGCTTTTCTTCCTGTCGCTTTTTCTGTAATTTAATGGTCTGTTTTGCAATAGATGTGCGCGTTTTGTTCTTTCGTTACCGATCCGCTTCTCGCACGAAATTCCTCAGAGATTATTATCGGAATGGCTGAAAAAAAAAAACTCGTGAATAATTCTCGAACAACGATTCCCTTTTGCGATCGCAGGGAGCGCATTTTCACTTCGACCACTTTATATTCCAATCACTTCATAACGGTTCTCCAACAAATTTCCTGGCCTCATTAACGAATTACGCGAGTCCCAGTGAAAAGCGAACGCAGACCACCCAGCAAGCGCAGTTAATAAATAATTGAAGATTCCTGCGACAGTGAATTTAATTGGATTTGGATCTGATCCCAATCGCTGGTAGTACTGCGACTACTGCCAAAAATAAACGAATCGAGAAAGAATAACTCGGGAATACTAATTGAAATACGAGGATTTTTCTACGTATATGTAAATACACTTTTAGGCAATATGAGACAAGAGTTACGTTTTTATCCGCATCCGTTCGCATTGTGAATGCCGATATGATTTTTCCCCCCGCAGGTAATGGCACTCTGGATTGGATTTCCAATCGCGGAAGCCAGGCCAGGTTCATACGAAGACGACTACTATTACGACTCTTCCTCCTCGGGGTCGGGCGGGGGGGTCGGCATGGCCGACTTCGACATGGGACAGTGGCTCGACCCCAAGGCGTGGCCGAGGGTCGTGCTGGACGACTGGAAGGGGGCGGCGCCGAATATTAAATACGAGCCGAAGTTCGGACCGACGTTCAACAAGATCGTCATCCATAAGCCGGAGAAGGAGGACGACCAGGACCCCAGAGGGGACAACAAAGACAACCCCGACAACATGGACAATCCCGACAACGTCGACAACCCCGACAACAAAGACAGTCGCGACAACAAAGACAGTCGCGATAATAAAGACAGTCGCGATAACAAAGACAACGCAGACAGCGGCAAGAACAGGCAGGACAGGCGGAACAAGAAGGACAAGCAGGCCAAACGGGACAAACGGAACCAGCGGGAGAAGCGAGACAGACGGAACAAGCGGGCTGCATCCGACAGAGGCGACATCGCGAATGCCTTTCACGCTGCAAGTGAAGCCTCTGAAACCAACAGCGACGAAGCCGATGCCTCGAGCAGCCGTAACGTAGCCGATGCCAGCAGCGGAGGCGATGGGAAACCTCTTGCGATTGGAAATGGAGGTTCTGGTCTCTCCGAACACGATGGAATTCTCGGTAAGAGACTTTTTCTTGTTATTACCTCGGATAGTTCATATTCGCCTTGAATATCTCACAACCAGTTTATCAGTTTCTGTTATACTCGTGATTGCAGTAATTAAAAGCCTGAAACTTTTCCAAGCAACAAATTGCAAGCCTCTCGATGCAGCATACCAAACTTGGGTTCATATCGGTAGCCGTTCGCATAGTCCAGATGTATTTTTTATTTTGATGCCATCAGGCCATGATCTTCCCTCGTGGAGTCAGCCCCGCCCTGCACCTGGTTCCCACGAACAGCACCGACATGCACGTTACGGTACCGTGTGGCCCAAAATCAGTTGCCAATTGTGAATTAGCGGAGATGCTGAAAATGCTGTCCCTGAACTGCACGACTGATGAGTTCATCTCGGACGGCTGCTGGTGCTGCTGGCGTAATTTCCTGAATTCCACGTGTGATTCGGTCTTTCAGTTCATCAAGGGACACGGGAGTCCTTGGACTGGGTTACCTCTTTAGATGAATGTGCCAAAGAATTTCAATGTCTCTCCCCGAGGTTTTTTTAAAATGATGATTCGGGTACCGAGTGAAAAGTCTTGAGGACTAATTCCAGCTGCATCAGGTATCGACTCGTTATAGAGGCTGTTTTGGCGTCATTTCGCATCGGTTGTGCGAACCATTATTTGTTCGAGCCGCCGACAGATGACTGACCTGCTGCTCCGACTAAGACAGGCGTACTTGAAGTATCCGGGGACATTTGACGTTCCTAAGCCTCCTTGAACACAGGTCGAACGTCTTCGAGAACGTTCATGTGCTACTGGGCGGAAATGACACGGACATTTTCACGGCACATCTCTGAAGACGGTTCAATTAACGAGTTTTACTGAGCGCTTGGAATCGATTCCTCTCGGCCGAAGATACGTGGAGCGTTCTGCTCGTTCACACAGCAGGATTTCATCCCGTTGCGTTGCAAAGGGCAACAATTTGTGCCGAAATAAAGCGATTGCGATTGCTGCTGCGACGCCATCGACATTTCCGTCTGTTTCGTTCGACAAATAGGCAATATGACGAAGAAAAATTTAGACATGAGTTCATAAGATCATAAAGTGAAGCGAAGAGGACAGGGCGGTAAATGATTAACAAAATGAGGCCCTGAGAAAACTCCAAATTGTCGTCCTATAACACGCCGGCAAAGTGGTACATGGCGGAAAATAACGGAAAGACCCTTCCTTCTCCCACCATGTCTCGCGACGCACGAGACATATACAACCACTAGTTCCCACCACATTCTTGTCAGACCACAATGCTAGTGTCGGAAAGGCCCTATAGATATTAAGACACTTGAAATCGATGCGGAGCAGTTGCTCTCCGGAGCTCCTCCAGCGAAAGCCCGAGCGCATTAATTGATTCGAAAGGAAAATGATATAGTGCTGTGAGCGCTGCGGAAAGCGAGAGTGCATCCCATCGCCACAAGAGCTCGAAAAGGAATGGCTAGTTCATGGCAAGACGTCTGACCTTTATCAAATGCATCTTTTGAATGCGCATGCGCATTGCATAGGTGCGCTCGGCTGCGCTGAAAATTTCAACTGCCTCGTGACTTCCCCTGGTTTGCCCTCACTCAGTATGCAGGGGAACCTTGAAGGGGCAGACCTATCTTCATTTCGGAAGGGGACTTTTATAAGTACTTTTTTCGTTCTACCACATGCAAGGAACAGAGAAATCTCACCAGTTTGGAAGAGTCAGATGGGGCTGATGTTTGACCGAGAAGTTGAAGGGTCTCTATGGTCTGCCTTAAGGCCTCTCCCAAGGACCTGCCACGTCCGCCAACATCGTGGATGGGGCAAATGACGCATCGACGAGAAAGGCAACATGCTCGATGTCCATCGGGGCAGAAAATGTTCAAAATGGTCGCCGTCCATTTCCACTAGCATATGCCTGAGTGAGTCTTGAAGTGCATTGCAACACTGCATACAAAGAAAGGTGACCGCTTGAAGCTCCCCAAGACTGCAATAGGTCAACAGTATTGCACGGGAACTATTCTGATGGTCCCAGCATCCTGCCGAAATCCGGGCACGGAAGACATCAACTGCACCTCAAGTAACACAAGGATATTCGATGAAACGTTGAACCTGTGCTCGAAGAAGTTTGGAAGCTTTCAATGTTCCTTAACGAGCAGCTTTAGCGCGCTCAGTTAATGTGCTATTTAATTGCCAGCATCTTAGTACTAAAGTTTTTGAAGGACATTAGGACAATGAGGACAATTAAGAAGGATAATGAAACTTTTATTTTAACATAATCAGTGCTACTTGGACGGGACAGCGGGCGAGCCATCTGGCGGTTCCTCGAACAAACAAGGTCCGCACGATCGAAGCGAGATGGCGCTTAAGTCGCCAATGTAGCGAGACGCTACCAGATGCAGCTGGAATTAGTCCCTCTTACTTTTCGTACCGTACCGGAATTTCCGACAGACACTTCAGGGGGAAACGTCGAAACTCTTCGATGCATTCGTCTAGAAAGGTCACCGAGCCGAGGGAGACTCGAGGGAATTCTGGCTCGAGAGGACGAGAGGGAATTCTGTTCTGCAGGGTGGGCCGACAAAAAAAAAATTGAGTCGTCTTCATCAGTCCACAGTATTGGTCCGCAAAAGTTTGCTGAAATTGCAATAGCGTCTCCGTGTAGAACATTCATTCAGCTTTCAAATGATGTCAACAGAATAAAGATTCGTGGCACGACAGATAGATAAAGAGTATAAGAGGTGGCGCTGGAAAAGATGGTCCCATGCCGCGATGGCAGCCAGCGCGTTGAAAGCGCTCGCCCACTCGCCATGGGCGAAGGAAACGGACGTCGCCTGGAGCACGCCTTGTCGGCAGGCGCCGCCGCTGTTGCGCTGGGCGTATCTGCATCGGAATTCGCGGATCTTAAATCTTTTGACGTCAGTGGAAGGCTGATGGAGGCGTTATTGCGATATTTTCGAACTCTCAAGAAAGTACTCGAGACTTCACGAGGTGCGAAAAGGAATACAGTGGATTCCGCTTAATTGGGCCATCGGTTGATGGGGGCAGCCGGTTTATCGGGACATTTTGTCAGGAACGGAATCATTTCTATGCAAGTGCAGTAAAATTTCGCCGCATATTCCAGACGAAAACCCGCTTTATTGGGGCAAGGTCGGGGTCTGGGTTGGGGGAGGGGAGCCGTCGGTTTGAGATGGGTTTTTCTGTTTTTTTATTATATTTATTTTTTTATATTTTTTTTTCTGGGGATTTTAGGGGGTGGGTGGGTTTTTCCGTGTTTTTGTGGATTTAAGCCGGGATTGGGGTTTGGGGGATGACGCAGACGAGGAGCCCGAGACTTTCCCAAAGGCGACTCACGTCGAGGCCATGCACTCAGTGGACATCCTTCAGCTCTACTTTATTGAGCAAGGATCGGGCGATACGGCGCGTGCTGAAGAAGTCTTTAGAAAAACTTTTTCAGACATGAAACAAGGAACTATGGACTAATTCCTTGAATCATAAATCTTTTTTTTTTATATATCGCAAATGTAAGAGCTGTCTGGGTTTCTCATTATTCTTTACTATCAGGCAACTTCGCTTAATTGGGGCAAAACGACCTGGAACCAACGTGTCCCAATAAAGCGGAATCCACTGTAATGAAAAACTAAAAGTAATCGTGACCTTGAGGTTTTCGAGAGTCGTGTCTCACCTGAAGGGATCATCATAATCCGGATGGGATGATCATCACATAGGACGTTTAATGAGCCCTGTCTTCCAAATTTCAACGAAAAATTTAAACTCCGCAACATTGCCGTGCCGAAAACCAGAAAACTGGTTTCGCATCGAAATATGAAATATGAAATATGATATTATGAACTCGATTTAGTTACGAATCGAATCGAGAGTGACACCTCAAATTTCTAAGCAATAGGCAGAGATCGAGAAAACACGCACCAGTTCTTTCCACTTTTCTCACCTATTCCTCAATGTCGGCCCGAGATTCCATTTTTTTTTAATGAGGACGAAATGCGACTTGCGACTCTCGTATGCAGGATAACAGGCTCAAAGGATAGATTTGAAGCGATTAAGATCGCATCGTCTGCCATCGGCAAGAATACGTTCGGAATTTTCTGCAAACCATCGCGAGCAAGAAACACAAACCCATTTCCCGATGAATTCCTTCATCGATCGTCCCTCGAGCCTAATGAAACCGGAAACTTGCCCCCCCGTCGAGAAAGTCGCCGATAAAACAGTAAATCCCCGTAGCAGGATGAGGCCGTTGCAAAGGACGGAGGAGATCCTGCCCCGGCGGCACGGGCCTCGGGCCTGGAGTGAGGAGGCATCCGGCCGCGAACGCCGCCGTGAGTGCATCCTCCGGGTGTGTGTGTGTGTGTGTGTGTGTGTGTGGGAAGGGGGGGGGGGGGATGACTCACTATGGAGGTCCTCCGTCCTTTGCAACGGCCTCATCCTGCTACGGGGATTTACTGTTTTATCGGCGACTTTCTCGACGGGGGGGCAAGTTTCCGGTTTCATTAGGCTCGAGGGACGATCGATGAAGGAATTCATCGGTGTGTGTTTTTTATTATTTATTTATTATTATCATTCCTGTATTAATATTTATCCCGTGCGTGTCTCTCGGCGTCGCGTTTCAAGGACACGCGGTTGGGATCCCCCCGCATGAAATCCTTGCGCATCATCGACCAGCTCGACCCTTTTCCGGTATTTTAATCATCTTTCGCTTGCGGGGCTGGAGCCCCGAAGCCCGAGATTCCCGTCTGCCAGACTTCTAACTCCTCTCGTCGCTCGTCCCGTTTTTCCCTCGGGATCGTTCCCGTTTCGCCCTTGCCCCGACGGACGCACAAAAGATATTCACCAAGATCTCGTACATACGAATGGAGTGTCGATTCCCCTTTCGTTACTCTCCGACCACTTTCCTGAAGCGTATCCTTCAATTAAATCCATTTTTCACGATAAAAAAAAATCGCCAGGAACAGCCAAAAAAAACTAACTCTTATCAGTCTCTTATCCACGATCCGAAGGCCACTGGGCTCAAAGAACTCCTTCCACTTACGGTCTTTGTTCCTTTCTTATCCGACAAATTAATAATGCATTTCGACCCTGAGGAAATTTAGACGCAATCGCGAGATATTCACGAGAAGTTTCACGTAAATAACCGCAAATTAACGGCCCAAGAACGAAAACCCCAAGACGCGACTCGAAAAGTCGGCAAAAAAAAAGTTCCCCTTTGTTTCCCACCCGAAGGACACAGTTACCCGATTTGCATCGAAAACAACTTCATATCTCGTCCGCCCACCGATAAACCAATTACGGAATTTATTTAATTTTTAAAATTTGTAATAATATATATGTATACATTTTTTAAAGGGACCTTTGTTCTCTAGGAAGCGAACCGCCTCACCTCCAGCCTCTCTTCCCCTCCCTGGATTAAATCACATCGGAAAAAAAGGAAGAAAAGTATGAAAGTGTCTCGGACGAGGTGTCGCCGACGAAGACCCGCCCCTTCCCCCCTCGGGCGGGCGGTTTCCCAGCCCGCGACCGAACGAGTAACCGCCAACTGCTGACCGGTAACCGGCACGTCCCGATCGCAAGATCCCCAGATCCGTGTTCGCGACGATCGCTTCGCTCGCTTCAAATCCGCGATTTCGTTTCCCGTGTTTCCCCTTTCGGGTACCTGCAAGTACTGGTACCTGCTACAGGTACCGGCAAGTACCAATTGTGACTGATTCTTTTCGCCCTTCGCGAGTACGAAGCACGAAAGATGGAAAAATCGAGTTGGCATGTCTTTTCCCGAACGAATAAAGAATTTTCAGACCGGAAGATTTTCAATAGAAAAATGATTGAGGTGAAACCCGACGTCTACATCTTCCGCATCTCTTCCCTCTCTCCTATGCGCGAAAAAAAATTCTGACGGATTAATAAGAAAGCTTCTTATTGCGAATCTTTGTATTATTTGTGCGCAAGAGAGGTACCGATGCCCTTTCACGCCTTTCGCACCTTTCACGCCGAGATGATCATTCGATGAGAAACTCTATTTTGCTAGTTAATCCTTCTCCCGCGCGGTCCTTTAATTTGTCTGAAATGCACAAAAAAGTGGAGGCGATGTGACGTCACGAAACGTTTGCCAGGCGATTGCAGCGACTGTTCCTTCAAAGCTAATTATGTCTCACGGAAGGAAGAATCTCGGAAGAATCTCGAAAAAGACTTACAGATTTGAGGAATGTCGGAAAAAGTTTCCCCGCGAGGGAAGGAGGACACCTCGGGCACGCCACGGCGTGCGGCAGTTCCAGAATCGGCGCTAGATGGCTTTGCGAGTCGCGACTCGACGAAAGAAATTCGCGGTCGCGACTCGGTTCGAGTGGATTCTGACGGGTCGCCGTCATTCCGACATTCGTCGGAAAAAGGAAATCACGCTGGAACATTCGCGATAAATGAGCGTTTTGGCGGTGCATACCTCTGAGAATTCACGAGCGCCGTTCCGTTTTTTTATTTTTTGCGAACGAGGCAAGGATTATATGATATTGCAAGACGGTAGAGCAGTGCTTCGCAGCCGGTTCGCCGCGATCAAGTCCCTGGCGCGCCAACGTCTTTCCAGAATTACAGGAAAATTAAAGAAAAATCAATGTGTTTTACTTTCGAGCGTCGGTCAAATCGGCTATGGTGCGCCAAGAAAATATTATTCGCATCGACATCGGGAAATCAGGTCCGGCATGCCGCGAGGATCGAGCCAAACCCGAAAGTCAGGGCCGCGGAATCACAAAAACGTTCCTGGCAAATTTCGTCACGTCTACATCAGCACTTTCCCCACCACAGCACAGATGTCGCTGCGGTCGAATTCGACTATTTCCCAGAAGCGAAATCGGAAGCAAGCGCTATCGAGAGGATCTGAAAGTGGAAAGGTTTTTAATCGCAAACTAATTTTTACTCTCTGCCTCTCGATTTGTGTTTTGGTCCATTCGAGTCAACACGCGATTTTATTAGCTTTCTTAAATATTTATTTATATTGATATTTATTCATATTGATATTTATTCATATTGATATTTATTCGTATTCATATTTATTCGTATTCATATTTATTCGTATTCATATTTATTCGTATTCATATTTATTCGTATTCATATTTATTCGTATTCATATTTATTCATATTCATATTTATTTATATTCATATTTATTTATATTCATATTTATTTATATTTATTTTTATTTATTTTTATTAATGTTTATTTATTTTTATTGTTACTTATTGTCGACTTGGAAGTCCGCGAGAACGCGCCAGCGCGTCCCGGAAATATATAATATGAGTGATTTTATCGAGGGGATCGCCGGGTCGCTGGGAATACCAGATGGCTCTCGGCCCAATTTTTTTATTTATTTTTATTTTTCGATTCTTGTTGCAGTTTGGCGGCGGTGCGAGCGAAAAAAAAAATGTTTTCTCTTTTTTTTTCGTTTCCTTTTGCGGAGATTTGGAAGATTTTACGCTTTTTCTGATGATACCTCTTTGCCCTCTCGCAAAAAAAAAAGAATTTGCACAAAGCAACGCGAAATAAGAAATGAAACGCAATGCTAATCGCCTTCTTCCAGAGCAAAGGTTTCTTTCGTAATTGTTCAAGCCCATCCTTTAAGCATTAAAGGACTGAAAGGATGATTTCATCCTTGAATTAATCTGTGAGTTAATCTCCATCAAGTTTGCTTTTAATTCTCGCTCTGGGACTTTTGGATTATCCGTGGATTATCGTCGCGACAGATGATTTGATCAGTTTTTATTTTTTTGCATGTCGCTCATTCCCTTCCGAACAGATAAGTTGCGGATTCGTGGCGGATTTCTGCCATCCCTCTTTGGCGGGAAATTCTCGCAAATTTTAAAAAAGAAATTGGCGAATGAATCGACTGATACGAAAAAAATCACTTTCCCGTCGATAATTTTCCAAGCTAAAAAATAAAATAAAATAAAATTCCAGTGAAATATTTTTTTTTTAATCGGTGGCGTGGCGAAACGGCAATAATTTCGGCATTTTTTTTGAGGAAAGAGGCAAGTAACGAAAGGAAATGGCATCTGCCGCCTCATTAACGACGCCGGAATTTAAAAAAGAGTCTTAATGCCTCGCCCGGCGCATAAATGGGAAAAATCCTATAATGAAGGATTCTCTCCTCGTCCTTTGGTCCTTATCTTCGGGGCGACGCAAGGACGGCGAATCGTGCGATCGCCCTTCGAAACCCTTTCGAACCAGAAAGTAACCGGCGGTTTATCGGGGGACCCGCGACGTTTCAGGGCCGGGCGTTCGCGGTTTCATCGGCTTTCGGGTAATTAAATCGCTTTCGGGTCGAAGGCCGGAATGATGAAACCTTAAAGGTCCTTTGAGAATCGATGGACTTTCTTGGAGGACGGTGAGATCTTTGGCCTCCCTTAAAAATAAAGGTTCGTGCATCGTCTCAGGTCGCGTTCGTAGTCCTTGCGGATTCTTGAGAAAATACCATCCAACGTGCAAA